ATAATGACTGATCAATGTGATGCTATGGCTGCTGCAATTGTTCAAGTTTTTCCAAGTTCACGACATCGTCTATGTATATGGCATATTGGTGAGAACTCAAAGAAGCACATTAAAGGGTTAAGAAATCAAAAAGATTTCTTAGATATATTCAATTGTTTGCTGAAGTATACGGATACAGATGCAGAGTTTGAATTTTACTGGACAAGGTATGTGTCTGGTTTATGCTTCGTTATTATTATTATTATTTTTTATATTATTAGTTTATATTGGCTTATCATAGAATGACTATTTTTAGATTATATATTATAAAATACAGAATTAATTTTTTGGATCAAGTTTATGTGTATTACTTTGATAGTTTATGTGTATTCATGTATAAGATTATGTATATTAGTAGGTTCTGTATCTAATATCCTGATATGTTTGTAGGTTTACTTTAATATATATATATATATATATATATATATATATGGCATGTTATTTCAGGATGGTTACAACATATAAATGTCACAATAATAATTGGATTGAAAAGCTTTATGGGTGTAGAGAAAAATGGTGTCCTGCATTTAATAAAGATTATTTTTCGGGTGGGATTTTATCTTCTCAAAGGAGTGAGACCACAAACCACTCTATTTCTAGAAGGTTGTCTAAGACTTCTGGACTATGTGATTTTTATAGCTCATTTGTTGGGGTTATATCAGAGTGGAGAAGTAGAGAGAATGGGGAAGATGTTCGATGTTCACAAGGTGTACCTACAATGGTGATGGATAATGTTAAGATTATGTTGCATGCTAGGGAAATTTATACAATTCAGATATACTATTTGTTTGAAGAACAATTTTTGAAAGGTGGATCATGCTATCAAGAGTGTGTGATGTTGAAAGATGGTGTGTACAAGTATCATGTTTGGAGGCCTGATGTTGATATTATTAGGCATGAAGTGATTTTTAACAATAGACAAATGGACATTGGATGTAGTTGCAAGTTGTTCACTGAATTGGGGATTTTGTGTTGTCATTATTTACGCATTCTAAATGTGCATTGTGTTTCTGAAGTTCCTGAGAAATATATTTTGAAGAGGTGGACTAAAAAAGTCGTTGAAGATGATAATTTTGATATAATGTCTAGAGTTGATAGTGTTAATGTTGCATCTTCTGTTTGGTTATTAGAAATCATTAGGAAATTTCAAAGGCTTGCTGTTTACAGTAAGGAAATTATCGAAGGACGGAAGATTTGTGAAGAAGCAATTGCAGATGCAAAGAGAAGACTTGAAGCTGAATGTGGTGGTAGTTTATTTGAAGAATGTGACATAGGATCGTCAACTGGTGTTATAAATGAACCATCAACTAGGCGGATGAAAGGGCTGCGAAATAGGAGGGTGAGCAATGTTATTTCAAAGAAATATAACAAAGTAAGGGGACGGAAGCATCTTGCACATATGGTTGCTTCCAAAATAAAATCTGCTGTTCAGTCTCAAGTTGAGAATGATATTTCAAATATTGCTGGTGATGGATATCTTGTGCATCCAAGTTCCGGAGGTTCTAATTTTTGTCATGTTAGAACAATGTCAAGTATGGAAGATAATCAAAGCATATGTTAGTGTTAATCATCGTAGTTATATGTATCGTGTACAGAAGGATGTTGAATCATATAACTCAGCAGTAATAAAAATAGACCTTTATTATGATGTGTGCTGTTTTAAAAGTTTATGTGTATCCATTATATAGTTTATGTGTATTACTTCATATGATTATGTACATTTTTATTTGTGTTCATTACGTTTATATATTTATGTACATTTTTTTTAGATTTGCAGTTATCAGTATAGGGAAATGATATGATTGGTCCTATGTGTATTCTTTGCATGGATTATATTCAGTAGGATGTTGGATTGTATAAATTAGCAGAAACAAAGATATTCTCAGACTTTTTTTTTTTTTTTAGTATGTGCACTGTTTTAAAAGTTTATGTGTATTCATTATATGATGTATGTGTATTACTTCATATGATTATGCACATTTTTATTTGTGTTCATTACTTTTATATATTTATGTACATTTTTTTTTTAGATTTGCAGTTATTAGTATAGGGAAATGATATGCTTGGTCTTATGTGTATTCTTTGAATGGATTATATTCAGTAGGGTGTTGGATTGCATAACTTAGCAGAAACAAAGATATTTATCAGACCTTTTTTATTAGTATGTGTATTGTTTGAAACGTTTATGTGTACTCATTATATAGTTTATATGTATTACTTTATATGATTATGTACATTTTTTTAATAGTTTATAGTTTGTATATCCTTTGCATTGATTATGCACAAAACTATATTGGAATAATATAAAATACGAGTCAACATGAGCTTGGATTACCAAAACGGTTTTATACAAATTTCTGCTAATAGTCAATCAACTGAAACTTCCAAAAATTGAACCAAAATACAAGTAAATATGAGCTTGGATTAGCAGAATTGTTTTTTTTTTTTTTTTTTTTGTTTTTTTTTTTTTTTACAGATTTTGTTAATAGTTTAATTTCTATTTCTTGTAAATGTCCCTTGCCGACTGCCTGACTGTTTCCATGTATTCATTGTTTTTCCACATGAGTATGTTTGCTGCATATTTGGCTCTAAGTGACGTAATGAAAGTAGCCTACAATAAAAAAAAAGAAGATAGATGTTAAAATAAGAAGAAACAAGAGATAACATGTGTAATGTAGAACAAAGTTGATTATTACTTACATCCTTATCCCCCCCCCCCCCACCCCTGTGAAACCAGTGTCCCACTTGTTTACTTCAGTCCCTTTGTAAGTCTCCATGTGGCGCATGCAATACACGCCACAATCTGTCGTGTTCTCTTCATCCTGCCATGGCATTTGAATGCACTTCACTTCAATATTCTTGACTTTCCTAGCAAGGGAGTTTTTCTTTGTTTGGAGGTATTTGTAGAAAGCTGTTTTCTGCAGAATATAGTAATTGTAGTGTTTAATTAATTTGAGTAATGTAGATATTAAACTATAGGCTATAGATATTAAATATGAGCATTAGTATATCTTACCAATTTGGCTGTGCAGTTCTCATATCTGTTTTTACTTGGTATTCCTTCAGGCAATAGTTTGTTGTCAATGATCTGATGTTTTGATTTGGGGATGTTAAAACACATTAAGTAGTAGTGATTGTGCCTCAAGAGTGTAAAGAAAACCTGAAATGAATAATTAAAAGGGATTTAACAAATTGTGTCAAATACATAAGTAAATTCAATAATATTAGAATTCATATACTTAGGTATATAGTTTTTGTTTTTGTTTTTGTTTTTTTTTTTTTTTGTTTTTTTACTTACAAGACTTGCATCAGTTATATCAATAGCAGTCTCCCTCAACTGGTAGTCAATATTTGTACAGAAGTCACCAACATTCATATTCCTAGTTTTTATTTCAACCTTTTCAAGCGTCATCTGTAAAGAAGAGGTTGGGTGTCATATAGTACATTGTTTAAAAAAAAATGCTTAGTTCAAGACGTGTACTTACGTAAGCAGCCTCTGAGAAGAAGATCCTCTTTGGTTGATCAATTGCTCTTTTCATATCAATCATGGTCAATCTATGTGCCCAAATCTGCATAATAATATTGGTAGCTAGTTGCCCACTTGCCAATGTTGCAAAGTCCTCTCTTGTTGTAAACAGATCATGGGCAGAAAACAGCATTTCACTGGAAATAAACAAAACAAGTTGATATTACGTTTTGAAATCTTAAAATAATGCACAGGTATGGAATTAAAGTTCATAATGTAAAGTAATCTATTGTTGCCCCATAATGTAAATGTATAATATACATAATGTTATGAAGTAATACACATAATGTATAACCAGGATACACATAATTTTGAGTATAGAAATAGCGGTTATCTATGATGAGGTATAGCAACTGAAAACATTTATTATAACAAGTTATAGAAGAAATACATACAAAGAAGGGTATTCCTCTTCATTTGGTGGCAGGAACGCATAGTCCGAGATCAGTTTTTCCCTGGCTGAAACATTTTTGAGCTTTGAAATGTTGCTTGTCCAATACGGGGATCGACAGGCTAGAGGGAGCTTCTTGAATTTTCGCTGTGGCCTTTTCAGGACATTGACATCTTCAACCTCATCTTCAGACTCAGCCATGATGCTTTGTAGAGACAGAAAAGTAATTATTAACATGTTTTAACTTTTTAGCAATAGGCATAATAACATGATTAAATAATTAATAAGACTAAAAATGTACATAATATTATAGCAGAATACACATAAAATATGAAAGCAATATACATAACCACAATTGGTTCATGATTGATGAGATATTAAACTGAACCATAAATGTACATAATTACTAGATTAAATACACATAATGATACTGTTAAGTGAGTTTTACCTATCAAACTCAATTTGGTCTGGAGTTTGTTGTTCCGGGGCTGGTAGTAATTGTGTTGACCCATCAGCTATGTCATCAACCTACTTCTCCAAGAATGTTGCAATTGGGGTCATTGGTGTTGTATTTTCTTCCATTGCTTGTGGTGGTGGTGTGTTGGGTGCTGCTGATGTTGGTGCAAATGCTGATTGTGGTTCTGATGTTGGTGCGTGTGGAGGTGGTGTTGTTTCGGGTGGAGTTGCATTTTTTGTTGCTTTTTCAGGTATGTTTGGTGTAGTAGCATCAGGGCCAGTTGGCGTTAGCAGATGAAATGTGGGTGCAGGTATGTCAGTAGTTGACATGTTCTTCAATGTAGCCATGAATGCCGCTTCAAGTTCAGCAACTGCATCCAAGAAACTTGGCTGGTTGTATATATCATCATCACGTAGCAGGCTCTCTGGTAGGGTTGGATTCGGGCTTGGCGTGAGGTTTGCATTGGTGGATAAGTTGCTGAATACATTCTTTATGATATCAATGACAGAGGTGTTTGCCCCAACCCCTGCCATGACCTCACCAAACTCCATAATGCTTGTGGTCATTTTTTTCAAGGCTTTGGTGACTTTTTCAACTTCTTGACCTTGTGGCAGTTCCTGAGGTGGTGGCTGCTGTGCAACTGGGATGTATTCAACAACTTTCCCCCTTCCAAAGCCGCCTATGTTTCTTTCAACCTTGACCCTTGCTCTCAAATCGCTTGAAGTCCATGAAGTGATTGTAGGAATCTTCTTTCTGACTATCTCTCCTCTAACCTGCACCTTGTCTAGGTATGACAGCTTCAAATAGAGAAACAAAAAAAAAAAAAAAGAAAAAAAAAAGATAAACCACTGAAAATTAATATCAATTCAGATTAATAATGTTCAGGATGACATAGTAGAATACACATAACTTCATTAAAAAATGTACATAATTATAAACTATAATATACATAATGTATATCAAGAATACACATAAAGTTGTATGACAATATACAAAGTTCATACCATTAGGAAAGTGGCAGGCCCAGTGAAGGCTGCCTCACGCTTGCTTCTCCATGATGAGGTGGTGTCAACAAGAGATCTTATTGTGTAAGCACACCAGTTGAAGTCTTTGATTTTGCTGACATCTTGCAGTGAATAGAGGAGCTTGTAGTTGCAAAACATATTCTTGAAACCTTTTATCAGTGTGGAAACAGTGTAGATTATAAAGTCACGGTTGAACATGTCGCCATGGTCATGCCTCTTAATGATGCCATTCAGCATATGGCTTGTTGTTGGTGCGCCTGTTTTTATACCCCACCGTTCTCTCTAAAGTGCAACCAAGTGCTTGTACTGTGGGTCTTTGCTCGTTACTTCACCCTCTATAACAGTCTGTTGCCCTTTGGGGATACCAAGTGTTGAATGTACATCATCATTTCCTAGAAGGAGCTCTTCCTCTACCATATGGATCGAGCATCTACCAACATCAAATCGCTCAAGAAGGTATCTCAGAAGTTCACCATCATATGAAGAAAGTGTTGCACTTAAAAGGGATCCAAATCCTATATCTCGAACAGCTTGGTGCTGTTCCGGGCTCACACTGCTCACAAGTGCACAGAGCTGCTTTGGGGAGGTCCGTACAGCCAAGTAATCACTGTGTTTTGGTTTTTTCTTCTTTTGTTTTTCCTCCTTTCTTATCCTCTTTGGGGTTTTTTTTATGTTCGGCAGTTGTACAGGTGTGGGTTGTCTTTTGTTTTTTGGCAGTAGGCTGCTTGGGGTCATCATTGGTACCTGTTCTGATTTCAACATTTGCTGGTTCAGAACATGTTTCAGCAAATTTTGATGCAGTAGCAGTATTTTTCCTTCGTTTACCCTCTCTGGCAATTTCTCGTAGCCTAGGATCAGTAGTGATTGGAGGTGTTGATGTAGGTGCAATATTTTTATTTCTTGGAGATCTCCGGGGATTAGTGGTTGTAGTGGTTGAAATTTCTGTAATAACATAATACACGTAAACACAAGTTTAAGTAATATGTAACACTAATATTAACACCAAACAGGCAATAGATTGGGATTGAGAATTTTACAAGAGTGCAAATGTATAATGTACATAATTCTATGAAGTAATACACATAATATATAACCAGGATACACATAATTTTGAGTATAAGAATAGTGGTTATCTATGATGAGGTATAGCAACTGAAAACATTAATGTACATAATCTTATATCAGAATAAACACAAGTCTAAGTAATATGTAACCCTAGTTGACACTACTGTAATAACATAATACACATAAACAGAGTTCTAAGTAATATGTAACACTAATATTAACACCAGACAGACAATAGATTGGGATTGAGAAGTTTATAGGGGTGCAAATGTATAATGTACATAATGTTATGAAGTAATACACATAATATATACCAGGATACACATAATTTTGAGTATAAGAATAGTGGTTATCTATGATGAGCTATAGCAACTGAAAACATTAATGTACATAATCTTATATCAGAATAAACATAAGTCTAAGTAATATGTAACCCTAGTTGACATTGCTGTATTAACATAATACACATAAACATAGTTCTAAGTAATAGGTAACACTAATATTAACACCAGACAGACAATAGATTGGGATTGAGAAGTTTACAGGGATGCAAATGAATAATGTACCTAATGTTATGAAGTAATACACAGAATATATAACCAGGATACACATAATTTTGAGTATAAGAATAACGGTTATCTATGATGAGGTATAGCAACTGAAAACACTAATGTACATAATTTTATATCAGAATAAACACAAGTCTAAGTAATATGTAATCCTAGTTGACATTGCTGTATTAACATAATGCAGTAATATCATGAATGTTTGGAATGTAGTAATATCATGCTCATAGTGTTATGCAATCGTAGTTATGCTCGCATTTTCTTCGCGCTGGTGTAGTGTTCTTGCAGAGGAATGTGATGAAGGATCAGATTTTGCGGTTTTTGCTGTCTTTCGCAGAAAATAGTGATCGGTTTTGAATGCTTGAGAGTGGTAATGGAGAGACTTTGTGAAGAAGAAAGGCTTGATATATATATATATATATATATATATATATATATATATATATATATATATATATATATATATATATATATATATATATATATATATATATATATATATATATATATATATATATATATATATATATATATATATATATAAAAGGTGATTGGACGGACGGAGAGGCGTCCGTCCCGTCAAATGTCACTAACGGAGGAAATTCAAAACGACACCGTTTGGCAGATAGGTGCATAGTCCTACGTGCAACGTGGTGTATGGTATAACGATTGGTATAAATACCCTTTGAACCATGCCTTAATTGTAGGGGGCGCTTTTAAGCCTATACCATACTCAGACTAATCCACATTCGTACCGGCCCGGCCCAATTAAGAGGCAAAGTGCTGATCATATTGATTTTTTCATACGAGAGGAGGTTCGAACTCCTACCCCTCTTAAAGGATGAAATGATTAACTGTAAGGGGCGCTTTTAAGCCTGTACCTATGAGGAGGTTCGAACTCCTACCACTCACACCAACCAAACTGGTTGAAATGATTATTTGTTTTGTGTTTGGCTGTGTTGATTAGTTTCGAGGTTGGTGCTTGAATGGAATCTTAGTTGGTCTAATTTTAGTCATTTGCTCGAGGATTGTGAGGTAATTCAAATTGGTTACATCATGTGGGTAAATTGGTTAGCGGCTAATACGAAGTATGGCTTGCACTCAAATGACTAAATTTGCTCCATATATATTAGAAGAAGACAGTTCCAATGTTAATGTATTTGTCAAATGGCTAAAGTTAGTTGAAGGGTTGAAGACAATTAGAGTTAAATACAAGGCAAATTGAATTCAAATTGGACAAAGTGGGATGAAAGTCGGATGAGGAGTCACGCTTTTGAGCAGCTTTGTGAGATCAATTTTTTATATCACGCTGCGAGAAGAAACTTTAGAGTTTATCAGGGTTGTCATGAGGCTTATCACGCTCATGATAGGGTTCATGACGTGCCTATCCGAGGCTATAAATAGGAGAATTTGGTTTCATTTGAAGCATTAGAGAGTAGATTAGTGTAGTGTAGAATTAGAGATCAATTACTTTCCAATTCTTAGCTCTTAGAACCCTAGCAAGAAATTTAGAAATAGTGTGAATCATACTTTCAACAGGTCAAGAAGCGGAAGCTGGAGCATTAGAGAGTAAATTAGTGTAGTGTAGAATTAGAGATCATTTACTTTCAGATTCTTAGCTCTTAGAACCTAAGCAAGAAATTTAGAAACAGTGTGAGTCATACTTTCAGCAGTTCAAGAAGTGGGAACCACACAAGAAACAAGGTGTAGAGAGATGGCATTTAGCTCAAACCAAACCTAAAATTTTTGTTGGGAAAAATCTCACTTAGTGTGATAATAAAAAATCACAGAATCAACAGGAGCACAAAGACATTCTTTAACATTCACGGGCTAAACAGAAATAATATCTCGTATTTAAAATATTCAACCATCCGGCCCAGGCGCCTTGTACCACATTTCATTCCAAAACAATATAATAAATATGTTCTATGTAGATTTATTTTATTAGTAAGAAATATGCACTAGAAGGCACAAATTAAATTATGTACTGGAAAACACAAAAGTGTGCAGTGAAATACATAACAATATGCACTTGAATTATGTTTTTGCATTCTATTCAAATCCTTTAAAGCACAACAATATGCACTCGAAGGCACAACAATGTGCACTCGATAACACAAAAATGTGCACTCGAAAGTAAAAAATTAGAATGAGATACATTGCAAAAAAAATTGAAAACCAGAGTGAATTCACACAGATAGTTTGATTTGAAGTTCTTATTCTTTCTTGCTCTTCGAGAAGTCAAGAGAAATTGTCTAGATCTCTTTAAGAATTCAAGATTACAAATACTAAAATATTAAATAAAAAAACTCTTGAAAAAAGAATGGGAGAAAAAAAAATTAGAACTAGAATAAATTCTGTTGTTTTTGATAGTTTGATTCGATCATTGAGCCTTTGAAATGTAAAAAAATTAAATTACTTTAGTGAAAATATAACTAAAATAAATAAATAAATAAAAGATTCGATCAATAAGCCTATGCCCACGTATATATATTTTGTCTTTATGAATTATAGATGATTTTATCAATGAAAACATCTTATAAAGTTTTTTTATTATAAAATATTAAAGCCATGAGAAGCATTTTAAAAATATTTTATATAATAAAATCTCCTATATTGTAGTACACAAATCATAGACGTTCAATAATAAGGTGAATAATATATAGAGAAAATATCATTTTTTGTCCCTCGACAATAATATAAGTATCAGTTTTAGTCCTTGACTATTAAAATTTTCAATTTTAATGCATGACTATTCAATTTGTATCACATTTTAACATTTTCAAATTAGGTGCATGAGTATTCAACTTGAATCACATTTGGTTCTGCAGTTAAATTTTTCGATCAAATTCTGCCGAAGTCACCGGTGACGGACTAATTTATTTAAATTTTATTTTAAAATTATTTTAATAATTTTTAAATTAAAAACCTTAAAAATTAAAAAATTAAAATAAAAAACGACAGCCACCTCACCCCTCCTCTTTCGTCTCCGCTGGAGACGAAGGAGGAGGGTGGGGGGCATTTTATTTTATTTTTATTTTTAAGTTTTTTAATTTAAAATTATTAAAATAAAAATTAAATAAATTAGCCGGTCACCGGTGACTTAGTCGAAATTTTAATCAGAAAATTGAACGGCAGGACCAAATATGATACAAGTTGAATAGTCATACACCAAAATTAAAAATTTTAATAGTCAAGGACTAAAGCTGATACATATATTATAATCAAGGGACTAAAAATGAAATTTTCTCATATATATATATATATATATATATATATATATATATATATATATATATATATATATATATATATATATATATATATATATATAGATTTAGGTTTAGGTTCTTATATGAAGTCACCCCTATATATATATATATATATATAACCATTGAAATTTATGATAATAGAGAAAAAGATACGTAAAAAGGTAAGTCACGTCCAAATATAACCCTAATTTTATATATTTTAAAACTGTATATAAGAAAGTACTCCGTAATATTTAGTAGTGTCAATTGACCCTACTGAAAATAACATAAATTTGCCCATGTTTGGATTGGCAGGGCTATAGTTTGTAGTTGTTAGATGACAATAAAAAAAGAAAAAAAAAAAAAAAAAAAAAAAAAAAGACCAAGAGAAACAATACCCAAATTAAATGTGTAAGATCTGCAAAATTGTAGCATGTTAAGAGATAAAATCTCTAAGATGGTCAAAACTTGATAGAGATTTTGTGGTAAAAAATTAACAAGGAAGCAATGAATCTTCACTAAAAACACGGGTGTCCACTCATCTAAATCCTGTGCTCCAATGGTAATAATGCATAAATAACATTTGTGCAGCATTTCTTGAATACAAAAACATCAAAAAAAAATTTAATTTCATGCAAACCATGTCTTCCTCTTCTCTTACCCTCTCCTTCATAACATCCTTCTTGTTCTTCTTCTCAACATATGCTCGTGTTGTCTATGCCCAAGAAAGCGGGAGTTTGCAGGGGAAACATGGCAGCACCTTCTCCGCGGTGTATGCCTTCGGGGGCTCATACACAGACACCGGAAATGCTTGCACAATGACAAGCCTTAAAGGAAGCTTTGGTGCTAACTGCCAGCGCTCTGGAGGCCGATTATCCAACGGTAAATTGGCGGTGGACTATGTGTCTGCATCCTTCTCTTTGCCATCCCCACAGCCTTGGCTAAACATTTCCAAAAACAGCTACTCCGCCACCCCCGGGGCCTTATCCACAGCCACATCCGGTGTCAACTTTGCAATCGCCGGATCCTCGTCTCTCCAGCACAAATACTTCACAAATCAAGACCTCTCACACGTAATCTGGAAAGGCATACCTATGACCATTCAGACACAGGTACACTGGTTCAGAAATTTCCTCAGAGAAAAGAATTGCATGGGTAAACACGCCCACCGTTGCATAGAAGAGTTCAAGAATGCACTCTTCTGGGTCGGTCCAATCGGCATCAGTGACTACTATAATGTTCAGGGTACATCTATTGCTCAGAAGTGGCTCACACAGTTATCTATTCAACAGTTCACAAAAGTTATTGAGGTATATATATACACACACACATTATAGATGCATACAGTTTAGGATCTGAAAAGCTTCATAATGTCATAAAATAACACCTATCAATGTTAATTATAGGCATTGATAAATGCGGGAGCAAAGTACATAGTAGCAGAAGGCTTACCGCCACTGGGGTGCTTTCCTCTAAGTGTGTCGCAATCCGAGGGGCATAAACTTGACCAAAATGGATGTGCTGTTCCTGTGAACTCGGCAATAAAGCTACACAATCAAATACTTAAAAGCAAAGTGGGAGAACTCCAAAGGCGCTGCCACGAATGTTCAATCTTGTATGCAGACTTCTGGAAAGCATACGAAACAATAGTGATGACCCCAGCAAAGTACCACTTGGAAGAGACTAAGAAAGCATGTTGCGGAACTGGCAAAGGAGATCTCAACTTCGACCCGAAAATGGTGTGTGGCTCCCCGACCACATCCGCATGCACAGACCCTGCAAAATACGTGAGTTGGGATGGTATTCATATCACAGAAGCCATGCAACGACAAGTCGCTGATCTTTACCTCAACCAAGGCTTCTGTGAACCATCATTCGATACGATGATTAAACATAAGAGTAGCATATAGAGAGGTTACCACCCATCCAGAGAGCAAGACTAAAAGATCTTGAAAAAACAATTTTTTTTTTATTTACTATGTTTTTCTCCATTTAAATCATTGTGGTTTCAACAAAAATAACATGTAGATGCTATACTAATAAAAAGCAGACCAATTTTGTATCAGAAACCATACAGATTAAGCGATTACTGAAATTCCCCCCAAGCAATACCAAAAGACAAAATGAAGAAATGAAATTTTCATGTCAACAGGGGCTTAGCGCGCTTACTGGTTCAGTAGGCAGTATTTGGGAGAAGAAATGAAATTTTCATATCATTTATGATGAATTGCTACACACCACCATGAAGTGAATAAAATGGTGGTCATTTTGATCTGTGTAAACTTTGGGGAGCTTGTCCTTACCGGATTCTATTTACATTGAAGATGGGCGTTTTTCTTATCTTTAAAGAGTTTGCATCATATTAGATATTCATAATACATCAAGAACAGCGCGTCTGGGTAATTCTTAGGGAGGCTTTTGATGTAGAGATAGAAACGCAGCAAATCCTCTTTGGAAACAGCATCGGGGTCGACCACGTCATCATTGGAGGTGAGAACCCACAAGTCTTTGGATTTGACCCTCTTCAAACTACCACGACAGAAAGGACATGACTCCGATCTCATGTTCCTGCAAGTCGAGAATTAGTATAGGCAAAGAAGTAGTTTGTAACGAGAGAGTTATAGAGAAGTTTGATTACCAATCACGATAGCAATTCATGCACATTGAATGGCAGCAATTAGGCAAGACCATTTTGGTGCAAGGTTCTAAGCATATTCCGCATTCTGCTTCTCTCTCCCTATCAAACTCTGCAAATTTCGAATCCCCTTTCAATCTTTTCTTACCAACAATGCTTTCCCAGGCATCTTTGGCATTGCCAAATTCCACCAAGTCAAAATGGAGTCGACGAAGTGATGGCAGTATAACAGCTGCAATTTTGCAATTTTAATGTTGCTAGACCAGGGTAATAGCCAAGAGGTAGAGAGTTTAAAACGAAACAAGAAAATGTCTTTTCTTTTACAAACCATAAAAATCGCTAACAGTTGCCTTCCTTCCATGTCGGGATATTTTTAATCTTCCTTCAGCATCTACCTGGCAAAGAAAGATAGGACCCTTAGAATAAAATGCTGGTGGAACTCAGCAGAGCAAGATTTAACATTCTCAATATGAGGGATCAGAGAGAGTGTTTAAAAGAAATGCGAATCAGAACAAATATGCAATGGTCCTTACCTTATAAATGAGGATGTAAATGGGATTTAGGTAGTCGGAAAGCAGACAAGTGCAGGAACAATCAATCCAACGAAGCAAAAACAGGAAAAGCGGTGCCAACTGATTGTAGACCAGTTCCATTTGAAGGTGTGATGTGCCTTTTTGTCTCGGAATTGCAGCAGCCCTGAAATGCAGAAGCCATTGCACCAAATTAGGACCACCAAGCACATGCTTTCAATTAACTCCACAACTTCAACTGATGTCGACATAACATTCATCACTCATATAAGTACTGTGATTGACCCCAGCCAAGATGGCTAAGGATACAAACTTGCAACCATAAGATCACGAGTTTGAATCCCAACCCTTTTGGTTTGAGTCAGTCAGCTACCCCAAAAAAGTATTGTGATTGAGTTTATGTGCTGCTAGTAATATATAGGTATGCTTATTATAAGAAGCTATCAAATGCTTATTCCAAACTGGTTGTGGTAATTGCAGCTCTAGCAAACCTCAATTTCCATTTTAGCAGTTCCACCCATACTAATTAAACACTTATATTGCTATCATCAAAACTCAAACTTAATCACTATTACTCAACTCACCACCCAATATAATCAAGACAACATACCCACCCCTAAAAGGCCATACCCAGATAATCAAGTCCATACTCACAAATTATCAAAATAAATCTTCTTTTTTTTTTTTTTTTTTTTTTTTTTTTTTTTTTTTTTTTTTTTTTAAGAATTCGCTAATTCATACTAGAAATTTACCCCCAACAACAACAACAACAAAAAAAAGTCTTAGCTTTATATTTCTTCCCTAACAATCATCTGCTCTCTCCAAACAAAAAAGAGAAAAAAAAAAAAAAAAACATAAAACAAAAATATGTTTTCTTTGTAAAAGTCCAAGAATTTCAAAGGGCTCTTAAGAAAATAAGCATAAATTGAAGGGGGAAAAAGAAGTTACAGAGCATTTGCATGCTGGATATCTGACTCGAGAACTTTCAAGGATTCTTGATAGGAGCTCCTTCCAAGCTGGTAATACATCATCTCCATTCTTGTAAACAGGTTTTCTTCTTCTTCTTTTTTTGCAGTCAATAAAATTTCTGTGCTTTCTTGGGAGGAAAAGGAAGAAGGAAAGCCACAGGAATGGAACAAGTCTTTCTCTCGCAAATACAGCTGCCTAGCGAAAACAACAAAGTCTGCTATCTCTAACTCTCTAAGACCCTTTTATGTTTTCTTGAAATAAAATAATAAAACGCCCAATTTTTAACAAAAGATAATGACATAAACCATAAATTTTGTGACAAAAATAAAACCAGAATATGTCTGAACTTCTCAACTTGTGATTCCCATCCTTTTTTTCTCACTAAAAAGGGGCGGCTCTGAGTGTGACAGATTTCTAGGTTTTTTTTTTTTTTTTTTTTTTTTTGACGAAGATAATATTGAAACAAAATTTGGCTGAATTTTCCAAACGAGATAAAGACAAGAGGTTTGGTTTGTCCAGTAATGATGTCTGTGCTGTCATCATAATCATGCTTTTAATACTTGCTTTTCAACCAAGCCATTTCAAATAATTGATTAAGGATGGGATAACCCTATTTAAGGCATCTTATTTAATTCCACATTTTTTTAGCAAAAAAAAAAAAAAAATGAAATGTTATCCTTTTTAATTGGATCAGCTTTTTCTACCACATATTGTTCAAAATTTAAAATAGCAATTAATCTTATAATTTAAGTAAGTAACTCTTACTAAGTAATATTTTTTTTTTAAATTTATTTTTTGAATGACGAGGAAAATACGCAACCTGAGAGTGTGCACATGATAAATATCGCTACCAACAATCTTACTAATTTGGATGGAATTATTCTCTATTTGTTAATTTTAACATGTGATATTTTACACTCGCTATTATGGCATTTTTCCTAAAATTTATGAAGATGTTTGGTAAATAATTATTTTTTTTTTAAACAAAAGGGAGGGGGACCCCAAAGGGTAGGCTAAGCTACAGAATCTTTGCGTGACCAGGGCGCCTTCAAAGTGTCATCAGTTATGAGATCTTCCACACCAGGGGCACGAGCGAATGTCACTCCAAGACTCATTCATAGCCACGGCCCAAGAAGCAAGGGCATCAACACACACATGTTAGTTGTTAGTTGATAGTTGATAGCTGATTGTGTTAGTATGTTTGACTAGTTGATTGCCCTTAGCGTTGGGGTTCAGCCTTTAGGAAGAATGTTTGACTAGTTGATTGTAAAAATATATTTGGTAAATTAATTGTTAGATGATAGCTGATTACATACAAAATGACTTTCTCATTAAGCTGATCGAAACAGCTGCTTTGAATAACTTTTTAAATTTTAGCGTTTTGAAGCAATAAACTATTACAAAAGACTGATTAATCGAACACTTATATTTATTGTTTAATCAAGTCAAACAGCTAATAATGGTCAAATAAGCTAAAATTAGGTGATAAGTTAATTTTGTTACAAAACAGAACTTATATCTTTTTATATAATTTTGAGAAAATGACACTTTTTCCCCCTGAGTTATATACTTATAGCACTTTTCCCCCCTTAATTATTTAGGTAAGCACATTAGCCCCCTCAATTATTCTAAAAGTGGTGGTTTTTTCCCCTAATATATTAAATTGACATTTCTACCCTTAAAGTAAACATTTTATTTATTTTACTTCTCCAACAAATTATTGCGTATACGTAGGGATCACCACGGTTCGGTTCGAACTGAACCAGACACTATAGTAATCGAATTAAAAGTTTCCGATTATGATTCAGATCGAGAACCCAATATTTGGATTTCAATTTATTAAAATTATAAATCAAAAAAATTGGATCCTAAACCGTGAATCAGCGGTTCCGGATCCGGTTCGCGATTTTGAACCGTCTTTATTTTAAAATAGTCTAACTTCAACAATAAATGTATTTTATTTTTTTCAGTTCGGAACATGAACCGTCCGTTCCAATTCGCGATTTTGATAAACTCTAAATATCGAGTTTCGATTCTAAATTGTAATTGAAATATTTCGATTTGGTTGCTATAGTGCTTGTTTGGTTTGAACCAAATTATGATCATAATTTGTTGAAGATGAAAAATAAATGAAATATTTATTTTAAGGATAAATATGTCCATTTAACATTTTAGGGGGGGAAAACAACCACTTGAATAATTAAGGGAGAAAAAATGCTATAAGTATATAACTCAGGGGGAAAAAGTGTCATTCTCCCTATAATTTTTTTTGAAAGGAATATAATTGTATTTAATTACCTAATGTTGAATTAATAAATTTAGGACACTTCAAGCTTTTGTCATCAGATATCTTAGCAGATCATCAGCGAATATGTATGCTCATAACATAGCCCGAGCTGCACATTCGGTCATTGTATATATGGGAAGATTCCCCGCCCCACTATATTCGATTTTTGATTAATTAAATTGTTTCTTAAAAATAAAAATAAAAATTAGGACACTGTTACGGGGACTATGTTTTTGTCAAATATTTTATTATGGGACATAGTTTTGCTTAATTAATTCGTGATGGGTCATACGATTTATTAATAATAAATAAATATAAGACAAACGTTATACATATCACATATTACACCATTGCGTAAAATATTAAATAAAAAATTATTTTAAATATATTTGTCATAAATTTATGAGTAATTAATAAATAAAAGATCACATAATTTTGTACAAAAATTCAGTCAAAATAATATTTTATTTTCAATTGATACAAATTTTGAGAAAACAAAATGAATTGAGCGAATGGAATATTATTACATGAATCTTTTTTCCTTTTGAGATAAGGGTCAAATAGGCCCTTAAAGTCTAAACCAAAGTGCAATTAGCGCCATGAATTAATAAAAGCTCCAATTAAGTCCTTCATCTCTTTATTTGTGTGCAATTAAGTCTATAACTTTTTAAATTTATGCAATTAACTCAATTTGAAGTTAAACTTAAGGTGATAGAAGGTAAAATTGATTTTCTTTTAAAACAAAAAACAAAAACAAAAACAAAAAATTGTTGGTTGGCCTTCTTCTTGGTAATGGAAACAAACCCCAAAATCGTGGGAAACTAGAAAGAAATGATCAGCTCCTTCTGTTCGATTCCAATATGGGCATTTCGCAGAGATAAGTTGTACTGCACTCCTCATGACCCTCGAAGATTTGAAGGGCAGTAGTGGCATGAGGTCACATGTAGGATACACGGGGGTATAGAACCAATCAGTTTCTTCGGGGTTTAGAGTTCTAACGGGGTTAGATAGAAGGAAACGATGCATGTAGATTTCAGCAGCAAACATATGGGCCGGGATAGGCATCTTGGATCCTTTTGCAGGATCAGAGTTTTTTGCTATACTTGCTGGGAAGCTCGTATACAAAAACTTTTAGTCTTCCGACGGGATTGTCTTCAAGGACATCTCCAGCTTCCTTGCGATCTTCCCGGTACGCACAGCCGCAGAAGCACAAATCTTAGTCTCTAGGTGTTGAAGAATCCGTCACACTTATGGTAAATGAAGAAGGAGCCATTAAATAAGGGATCAATGTGCAGAAGAAGAAGAAGGGTTCAGGAGGTTGGTCTGTATAAAGTCGAGGACAAAGACGGTGTCGTATAGAGTCAAGTCATTATTGGTAGTTAGAGAACTTAATGAAACGACACTGTTGCAGAGAGGGCGGTTAGCGGTTGTCATCTTAAAGTTGAAACGTCGCCGTATGAAGCTCGGTGGTTACATAACTCATCCGACGACGTCGTGTGTTGCTGATTGAAGGAGGAATGTTGAGTTGAGATTCCGGGAAGTTGTTAGAAGATATTTTGGATGTATTAGCTAGCTTTGTCTTATTTATTTTATTGTTTTTTTTCAAAGATGTTTTATGTTTTTGGACATTGAGGAATCAAAGCCTAGTTTTCTTTCCCATTTCTCTCAAACCCTATCTCGTTTCTCTTCTTCTTCACCATTTCTGCAGAACTTTTCTTGTCAAGTTTCTAAGTGTGTGACATTTGGTATCAGAGCCCACCATGGGTACTCAGTCAACCGCATCAGTAGAGGATAGGCTAAGCAGACTTGAAGCCTTATCCATGGAGCATAGTAGTGGATTGGCAGCTGTTCAGCAGTCTGGATGACTCTGTCTAGGGTCTGAAGTCTCACATGGAAGCATGGAAGAATGAGATCCTGGAGCTTTTGAGGTTAAACAGGCCACCAACTCCACCAGTCATGGATCCCCCTTCAGTTCATGGCCAGGCCGCAACACTACATCCAACCCCAGATGATGGAGCCTCTGGACTGAGAAGGAGGCCTGGGAAGGAACCAATGGTGGATGGCAACGTCGAGGTCCAAGAGGTTTCTGAAGGTGAGGAGGATCAAGCTGACCATTTGCCTGCTTTTCAAGAGGATCCTAGAGTTGGTGAGAGACCTTGGGCCCCTTGGAGAGCTCATCCAGTTGGCAGGAACTTGCAGCATAACCAAGGAGGTGATCCACTAATGAGGTATAAACAAGAATTCCCTACTTTTGATTATGAACACCCTAGGCTGTGGGTAATAAGGTGTGAAAGGTTCCTTATGATGGCTAAAATATCTAGGGATGAAGTAATCAATGTGCTTTGTGTGAATCTAACTGGCAAGGTTGGAGTTTGGTTTGAGAGTTATTCGAATGGTTTGAGAGCAGGATTCTAGTGGGTTGAGTTTGCAAGGGCTGTTTGTAAGAGGTTTTATGAGCATAATACTGATGTGATGGAAGAATTCTCAAATTTCAAACAAGTAGGGAATGTCACTGAATTTGCTGACAAATATGAGGAGTATAAAGGGTTGTTGTTGCAAATATACCCTTACCTAACTGATCAGTACTTCCTAGACACCTTCATAATCAGACTCAAACAACAGCTAAGATGTTATGTGAGGACATCTAGGTCTGCCAACCTAGAGGATGCTATGTGGTTAGAAAAGCAGTTTGAGAAGGGATTGAAATTCCAGGAACCCCAAAAAACTACTTACCATTCCCAAAAACCAACCTACACTTTCCAAAAGACCCAAACTTACCCTAAACCTTCTAATTCCAGAAATACAGATCCTCACAAAACCCAAACTAATCAAAATAACCCCAGGACCTCTGCTTTTAATACAATCCACTCTAATGCCAGATCACCTGAAGTTAGTAAGTTCAGAGATCAGCTGAGAGAGCAGAATAGGTGTTTCAGGTGTTTTGAACCTTGGAACCCTGGTCACAAGTGCAAGAGCCCTACCTTTAACATCATTGAAGGGGCTGGCTTTCATGAAAATGATGAGGAAGTCAGTGAGGGGCCAACAGAGAAGGATGAAACACAAGCCTTACCAGAAACAGAAGAGGTAGAGGTGACCTTAAATGTCGTTATTGGTGGTGAGGACATGAATATCATCAAGTTGTTAGGAGCTATTTGCAAACAGCCAATCACCATTCTATTGGACACTGGGAGTACCCACAGTTTCATAGACCCAAGGGTATTGGTCCAATTAAAGATTGTTCCAGAAGAAGTCAGGGCCCTTAAAGTCACAGTGGCCAATGGGGAATGTATGATCTGTGATTCTATCTGTTATGGTCTAAAGTGGCAGGTCCAAGGTGAAGTGTTTGCAAGGGATCTAAGGGTGCTCAAACTTGGGGGTTGTGATACGGTCCTAGGCATGGACTGGATTGATACTTATGCACCAATTCGGTTACATACTAGGCCCCCCAGTATTTCATTTCATAAGGAGGGCAGAAAAGTCTTGTTGAAAGGCATGTCAAAAGGGGTGGCATTGCAGCAAGCTACTAAGAAGGAGTTGAGGAGCTGGCAGAAAGAGGAAGTGCAAGGATACATGGTACATGGCACCTCTCTCAGTGTTCAGGAGAACAATTCAACAGATCAATATTTTCATGAATCTGATTCTAATCAGCAGGAGTTGGCTGCAATCCTACAAGAATTTCAAGCTTTATTTGAAAAGCCTAAAACTCTACCCCATCATAGGTCTTTTTACCATGAGATCCCATTGATTCCAGGAGCTATGCCAGTGAATATCAAGCCTTATAGGTATTCCTTCATACAGAAGAACACCATAGAGAGAATGGTTGAAGAGATGTTGACTGCAGGAATTATCACCCCTAGTACCTCTTTCTTTGCCTCACCTGTGCTGTTGGTACCAAAAAAAGACAACTCATGGAGATTCTGCATAGATTACAGGGCCCTGAATGAGATAACCATCAAGAACAAATTCTGTATCCCATTAGTTGAAGATATGTTCTCAGAATTGGCAAATGCCAGGGCTTTACTAAGCTGGATTTGAGGGCTGGATACCATCAAGTGAGGATGAAGAAAGGAGAGGAACATAAAATAGCCTTTAGGACACATCAAGGGTTATATGAGTTTAAGGTAATGCCCTTTGGGCTTACCAATGCTCCTGCAACTTTCCAAGCTCTCATGAACTTTGTATTCAAACTCTCATCAGAAAATCAGTGCTAGTCTTTTTTTATGACATACTGGTGTATAGCTCATCTTTTGGGAATCATTGGAGGGATATGAGAGAGGTATTGAAAATCATGAAGGACCATCAATTGTTGGCAAAAATGAGCAAGTGTTCCTTTGCTAAACCAGAGGTAGAATATTTGGGGCATATAATTTCAAAACAAGGGTTGCAGACTGTTGTGGTAGCTTGGCCTAAACCAACAAGTATTAAGGAGTTGAGGGGGTTCCTAGGCCTCATAGGATACTATAGAAGGTTCATCAAATCATATGGTACCATAAGTAGGCCCCTTATTAACATGCTTAAGAAAGATGCCTTCCAATGGAGTAATGAATCTGAAATTGCCTTTGAAGAGTTGAAGAAAGCCTTGTGTACTGCCCCAGTACTGACATTACCTGACTTCAACAAAGAATTTGTGGTGGAAGCTGATGCTTGTTACAAAGGAATGGGGGCAGTGTTAATGCAAGAAGGAAAACCAGTGGCTTACTTTAGCAAGGGGTTTGGGACTATCTATTTATGAAAAGGAATACCTTTCCATCATTAATGCAGTTGACAAATGGAGATCTTATTTGGTGGGGAGACCCTTCATTATCAAGACAGACCACCAAAGCTTAAAATTTTTATTGGAGCAAAAGATAACAACAACCATGCAGCAGAAGGGACTTACTAAATTACTTGGACTGAACTACACTATTCAGTACAAGAAAGGGGTGGACAATAATGTGGCTGATGCCTTGTCTAGAAGGAGGGATCCTGAACAGGCTGAAAACTTGGTTATTTCATCAGCTAGGCCAAATAGGGTAGAAGAAGTCATAAGGAGCTATGAAGGGGATGAGTTAGCTTTTAAGATACTCACTGAACAGTTGATTGCAGTTGAAGAAAACTCAGTTTTTATAGTAACTGAGGGACTAGTTAGATACAAGGGGAGATGATACATTGGCCAGAAAGGGGACTTGAGAAGAAGGCTTTTGATGCAGCTACATAACTCCCCTATTGTAACACCCCTGATTTCCATACCAAATTAAACCTTAAACATGCAGATAGTTCTAACCATAAAAGCATACACAGCGGAAGACTTAAGCATGAAATAGATGGAAAATGTAGAGTGTTATGCCATGCTCACACAACGGTGAACGCACAGGCGTAAACATCTGCAACATAATCTATCAATCCCAAAAGCAAAGTCAACAACATAGGTCTAGAGTCTAATCAAAGGCACGCAGGACCAAACCATCACAAGGGAAAGGGAGCTACACTAACTGCCTCTAGACCGCGCCCTCATCTACTCAGCACCTGAAAGATACACATAGATATATGGGACGACGCCCGGTCAGCGAATGATGTTGGTAACCCACCAATACATGTGAAATATCATAAGTAGATAGTTTATATATACAAAATCATTTGTGAAACGGGATATAATATATATCAATTTCAAAGCCAAGATAGAAGTCAAACACAAGACTCTTTGCACTCACAATAAAGATAAGGGAACACATTCCAATACAACAAGAAGCAATAACGACTCACAAGAACGGCTCAAGGCATAATCTACCATCACACAGTAGATTAACACCCGACATGCATAACACAAGAGAATAAGGACACGACCATTGGCAACTCATGCCTTGGCAACACATTCCTTTGTGACAACACCTGTCACAAATTGAGAAACACACAACAACGGCTACACAAGCCTTCGTGACGTCACCCATCACGAATTGAGATGCCTTCCTTATGCCCGATTCCAACCTTATGGCTACCCCCAACCTTATGTCTAGTTCCAACCTTTACCTCCAGGACCCCTGTACACCAAGTCCAACGTTTTCCCTCCGAGGACCGTCGTCCCCATCCGCCAACGACCACCAACAAATCCACCAATTTCATAGTACACGAGGGTACCGATCACACACATGGCAACACATGCCTCCCAAGAAATACGTGAACCCGACACACAGGTCACAAACTCCATAATCACGTCATGGCCACCACGAGGACCACTGCCATACCTTGGTGACTAATGTCCCATACCATTAATCGTGCAATCCAGGTACAACGACACACACCACACCACAACAGGAATCAAGCAACGGATCACAACGAAGATATGAAACCATACTCAATCAAGGAATAGATCGCAGTCCAACAACAACGATGATTAACACAAGTCATCATCAACAATAAGAAAGGACAAACAACACACACACTAGCATTTAAACACCGAACTAGCATGCTTATCAAACGGGTAAACCGAACATAGTTCCGAAGAACATACAAGACCCATCATAGTTCAACGAATCACAATGTTGAACACTTAGCACGATTCAAGACACCAAAACCTACATGGATTCCTACCATATAGTTCTAGACATACAAAACATCAAGAAGACACTCAAATAGTTCCACAAAATAACATCGGGAAGTCAAAAAACCAAATACCGAGTCAAAAGAATCACGGGGAACAAATCCCCGCCCAAGTCCACTTTATACCCCGCGGGAACCACTCCCACGAACCACCTGTACCCCGCTGGTGGGGCGGCGGGTGGTGCACTACCCGCCGTTCCGCCCGCGGGTACATCACCTGTACCAAAATAATCCTTTCGGGGATTTTCAACTCCAAGCTCAAATTCAAGTCCAAAACATGCCAAATCTCACCAAATACAACAAAATGACTTGAATCAAAGGAATAGCCAAGCAATGGCATACATGAACCCTAATAACAAGCTCTAGATATGCATTTTCACAAGACAATGCATCAACACTCACATTTCATAGCAAAATCACATGTAGAATACAAGAAATCATCATATAGGTAAGCAAAATAGATTTTGTAGAGCATGGGTTACCTCTTGTAGACAAAAACCTTCACTTAACACTTCCCAAAACTTCTAGCAAGGTTCACCTTCCTCACCCACTTCAAGAACACACCAAAAGATCATAAAGATTCTATCTTTAAGGAAAGACACCTTAGAAAACACTAAAAACACAAAATAAACATAGATCTTACCCTCCTAGATGCTCAAAGGTAGGAAAGGTGGAATCTTGAAGACAAACTTTGAAGATTTGGTAAAGCTCCAACTTGGCTTGGAAGAAAAGCTATCTAACTTTTAGAGAGAAGGAGGAGCTCAAGTTTAGAAAGTGTAAGGGAAAGAATGAAGGGTGTCTTCTAGGTTAGCTTGCAATACTAACATAAGGTGAAATGTCTTTATTACCCTTACTAAAATGAAGAGGTGTATGGGAACAAGGGAACTACTCACAAAGCTTTAGGTACAACACTTGACTTTGGGTTGACTAGTCAATTATTAGTCTCCGACTATTGAATTTTCAGGAATTTAAGGAATTAAATTGTCAATTGGATTAGGATTAATTACTTAATTAATCCCTTAATTGAATTTGGATTACGGGGTGTCACACCTATAGGAGGGCATTCAGGTCAGCAAGTAACCTATCACAGGCTCAAACAACTGTTTTATTGGAAAGGGATGAAAAATGAGGTGATAGCAACAGTTAAGGCTTGTGATACTTGTAAAAAATGTAAGGAAGAAAATGTGGCTTACCCTGGGTTGTTACAGCCTTTAAAGATTCCAAAACAAGCCCGGCAAAGCATTTCCATGGATTTCATTGAGGGATTACCTATGTCTCAAGGAAAGGAGGTTATTATGGTGATAGTTGATAGATTCACCAAGTACAATTACTTCTTAGCCTTGACTCACCCATACACTGCTGAAAAGGTGGCTGATATGTTTATGGAACATGTCTACAAACTCTATGGGATCCCCAAGGATATTGTGAGTGACAGGGACAATGTGTTTGTGAGTAAGTTCTGGAGGAATTTGTTTAAGCAACTGCAAATGAATCTGAGTATGTTCACAACTTATCACCCACAATCTGATGGACAGACAGCAAGAGTTAACAAATGCCTGGAAACTTACCTAAGATGTATGGTTTTTCATAAGCCTAAGGCCTGGGCTAAATGGCTACACTTAGCTGAGCATTAGTACAACACCAATTACCATACCTCCTTGCAGTGTACCCCATTCCAAGCACTTTATGGCTATCAACCACCATCTCTCACTTTAAATGTGGTACAGGAAGGGGAGGGCAATGACTGGTTTTAAGAGAGGGCATCTATGATAGCTATCCTTAGAGATAACCTACATAAAGCTCATTCTAGAATGAACCAGCAGGCATATAAGCACAGGAGTGAGAGAAGTTTTGCAGTTGGAGACTTTGTCTATTTGAAGATACAACCCTACAAGAAAATTTCTATGGCTGTTAGATCAAATGTGAAGCTCACTGCAAGGTTCTATGAACCCTTCAAAGTCGGTGGGGGAGGTTGCCTACAGGTTGGAGTTGCCAGTTGAAACTGCTATCCACCCAGTTTTCCATGTCTCTCAATTAAAGAAAAGGGTTGGGGTGGGAATTGTTCCACAACTTACATTACCATTGGCTGATCCTAAAGGAATGGTGTTGACTAAACCACTAGCATCCATAGGGAAAATTCTAGTCAAAAAGAACAACAAAGCTGAGGTTGAAATCTTAGTTCCGTGGGCAAATTTACCTAAGGAGGTAGCTACTTGGGAGAAGTATTATCACATTACAAGGCAATTCCTAAACTTTGATCCTTGGGGTCAAGGATCCCTTGAAGGGGAGGGCAATGTCACACTTATGGTAAATGAAGAAGGAGCCATTAAAGAAGGGATCAATGTGCAGAAGAAGAAAAAGAAGAAAGGTTCAGGAGGTTGGTCTGAATAAAGTCGAGGACCAAGACGGTGTCGTTTAGAGTCAAGTCGTTACTGGCAGTTAGAACACTTAATGAAATGACGCTGTTGCAGAGAGGGTGGTTAGCGGTTGTCATCTTACTGTCGAAATGTCGCCATATGAAGCTCGGTGGTTACATAACTCATCCGACGACGTCGTGTGTTGCTGATCGAAGGAGGAATGTTGAGCTGAGATTCCAGGAGGTTGTTAGAAGATATTTTGGATGTATTAGCTAGCTTTGTCTTATTTATTTTTTTGTTTTTTTTTTCAGAGATGTTTTATGCTTTTGGACATTGAGGAATCAAACCCTAGTTTTCTTTCCCATTTCTCTCAAACCCTATCTCGTTTCTCTTCTTCTTCACCATTTGTGCAGAACTTTTCTTGTCAAGTTTCTAAGTGTGTGATAGAATCAAGAGAAGCAAGAAGCTAAAGATAGGCAACCACTTCACAGAAACAACGGTGATAAGCCCATGGACGCCGCAACCAACCTCTCTGTACAAACCCACAAATCCAAGTACCAGTACGGGGCTGCAACCGCCGTCACTTGCCGCCACCGGTTACCTCTTACCTGCTGCTGAACCACCATTTCTGAGCCTTTGCCTCCGTCGTCTTCGTTTTCCACTTCTGCCAACAAGCTCGCGGCGAACACCAGCTTCTCCAGACGGAGAAGCCATTGCCGGCTCCTCTGTCAACTGGACGGAGAAGCCATGGCCAACTTCTCCGTCCAACTGGGCGGAGAAGCCGCGCGCGTTTTTTTTT